TTGTGCTGCAGGGAGCAACATGTCTGCTGCTGAAGCACTAGCAGCAGAATTTAAAACAAAGGTAATATCTTTATTTACTTTTACTGATTTGCTGCTGTATATAGACGAAATAGAAAAAAAAGAAAAAGATATAAATAAAAAAAATAAAATAAAACAACAAAAACAAGCCATGATTGAATACAGAAAAATATATGGAGCACACAGCAACTAACGCAACCATTACTCCTGCTGCTGCTGCTGCTGCTGCTGCTGCTGCAGCAGCAGCTGCTGCTGCAGCTGCTGTAGTTACATATTATAATACACTTGCTGCTGCTGCTGCTGCAGCAGCAGCAGCAGCAAGTTTATAGTTTGTATAGAAAAATATGTGGTGCGGAGACTAAAGAAATATGCTAATTATAGTATTGCTGCAACAGCAGCAGAAGCAGCAGCCAGGAAGCTGCAACAGCAGCAGTAGCAGCAGCAGCAGCAGCAGCAGAAGCAAGGAAGCTGGAGCAGTAGCAACGATAGAAGCAGCAGCAGCAGCAACAGCAGCAGCTGCAGCAACGGCAGCAGCTGCAGCAGCAGCTGCTGCTGCAGCAACAACAGTGGGAACAGCAGCAGCAAGAGCAGCAAGCTCTGGCTGCGTAGTTTCTAATTATATTTGTCACTGAGGGTTTAGGGTTTAGGGTTTAGGGTTTAGGGTAGGTGGTGTTAGCTACAGCGCTAGGCTTTAATTAGGGTTTAGGGTTTAGGGTTTAGGGTTTAGGGTTTGGGGTTTAGGGTTTAGGGTTTTTTGTGAGAGATGGATTCTCTGTGTAGAATAGATGAACGAAAAAGGCAAAGACAAACCGGGTTTAGGGTTTAGGGTTTTTAGGGTTTAGGGTTTAGGGTTTAGGGTTTAGAGGGGTGTTTTAGGGTTTTTGTTTGTTTGCTTTTAATATTTTTATGGGGTCCATAGAAGGAGGAGAAAAGAAAACAAAAACCCTCGTTGTTGAGGTGTATATACAGCTGAGCGTTGCTGTGTTGCTGTGTATCTAGGGTTTAGGGTTTAGGGTTTAGGGTTTAGGGTTTAGGGTTTATGGGGGTAGAACGTAAACCCTAAACCCTAAACCCTAAATTTTGTTTTTGCTTCGTCAATGATATAAATTTTAATAGAAGAGAAAATAAAATACAACAATATGATATATATTTTTTCAAGCAGAAGACGGCATACGAGATACATCGGTGACTGGAGTTCAGACGTGTGCTCTTCCGATCTTTTAGGGTTTAGGGTTTAGGGTTTAGGGTTTTAGGTATAGGGTTTAGGGTTTAGGTTTTAGGGTTTAGGGTTTTTTAGGGTTTAGGGTTTAGGGTTTAGGGTTTAGGGTTTAGGGTTTAGGGTTTAGGGTTTAGGGTTTGTGGTGGTGTCAGTGGATCAGGCCTAGGGAGAAAGAAGAAGATATATATATGTAGGGTTTGTATTTATATTTATGTATTTTTTTTCTATAGAATCCTAAACCCTAAACCCTAAACCCTAAACCCTAAACCCTAAACCCTAAACCCTCGCTGTTTACTACTAGCAGAGGTAGAAGGAAGGGCTGCGGCTGGCTGCTGCTTTAGGTGTGTGTTGTTTGTGTGTGTTATATTGTGTATAAATAAATAAAATAAATAATTATTTTAAAAACCCTAAAAAATAAATAAATATATGAAAAAAAACACAAAAAACGAGCCTAGGTTACCTTCTTTTATTGGGGTGTATATACACCTCAGCTGCTGCTGTTTTTGTTTTTTTTGTTTTTTTCTTTTTCTCTCTTTTTCTCTCTCTATAAACCCCTAATGCAGCAACAAATATATATTCTTGACTCTATTTTATCTCTTCTTTGCAGTTTTATACGGTAGCTGCTGCTGCTGCTGCTGTTGCTGCTGCTGCTGCTGCTGCTGCTGCTGCTGCTGCTGAGTTGAGTCATTGGGGTGTATAGGCAGCTCTATTTTTTCTTTTTTTTTTCTTTTTTTCTCCCCTTCTCTTTGTTCTATATATAAAGGGTATGAAGACAAACATATCTGTCTCTGTTGTTTTGTTTGTCTCTCTCTTTTTAATATATATAAACCTGCGGTGTATATGCAGCTGTATATACACCTAAAAAAAACTTTATTTTTTATCTTCTTCTTCTTGGATAAATATATTATTTTTAATATATTTATCTGGGGTTTGGTGGGCCTTCGTTAGTATCTTTTGCTGCTGCAGCTGCTGCAGCTGCTGCATCCTTTCCCTCTCCTTGCTGCTGCTGCTGCTGCTGCTGCTGCTCTTGCTGCTGCTGCTGCTGCTGCTGCTGCACCATGGAGCCACTACCAGACCCCAAACACGACAGGGTTGTCTCCTCGGTGCAGCCCCCCCCCGCTAAACCCCTCTCTCTGAATATACTCTACCCGCAGGGGCCTGACAGCCCCCCAGACTGGAAAGTAAGGGTTTAGGGTTTAGGGTTTAGGGTTTAGGGTTTAGGGTTTAGGGTTTGTGAGGGTTTAAGCTGGGTATTATAGACCC